AATTTCGAAGCTAAATTTAAAATAAATATTTAGCAAATGTCTGTTGGAAGAATTGCGTTTGTCAGGACAATGTATCAGTGACAGAATGACAACATGCCAGTAAGAAATGTTTCGTGTTGGGAGAGATGAGTGCATACAAATCACAGCTAAAATCATTGTATGGACAAATGATTAATTATATATATATATATATATATATATATATATATATATATATATATATATATATATATATATATATATATATATGTGTGTGTGTGTGTGTGTGTTTTACTTAGCTATACTTATATGCATTGTGTTAATCAATATCTGCACGTGAGGCGCGTTTCAGTAGAATTGTTTGTGTCATATGTGTATAGTATAAATGCTGGCATCATTTTCGACAAATCCATTGATTACGTCAGGTGGGTGATTAGAGATTTTGAGAAACGTATCTCTCCGCTCATATCATAGAGAAGATTGGATAACCTCCCCTCAGATGAAGAGAACACGAGGCAACAGAAATGTAGTTCTATAGAGGGATGCTGAAAATTTTATGGACGGTGCTAGTAAGAATCAAGGAAGACTTAAAGAAAATTGCAACAGGAAGATTTTTTTTTTATTTTAATCATTTCACTCGAACCAAGTCAATAAAGACACTAAAATGCCAGGGTTTACTGAATGTTACAGGAAAAAATATATTAAGGAGAGACAGCAATAAAGGAAGAAGAATTAAGAAGACAGAAGATTACAATTGACATTGCATTTAAATTTTTGATGATCAAACTTGACTGAAAAGCAAGAATCTGGAAGTGTGTTTCACATACGAGAAATGCTGGAGAATAAGCTACTAGCATATAAATTACTGTTATATCCAGCACTTTCAACTATAAAATGATTAGACCTTGCCGCCAATTTAGTATTGCACTTAAATTCATAAAATCTGGGTACCATAGAGGAAACTTCATCAGAACAATTACCATGAAAGTATTTACAGTAAAGGCGCAGAGAACCGACATTACCACGAGGTGAAGTAGGGGAGTGAGTGAGTGAGTGAAGACGAGATGCTAGGTCAGGACCAATAACATTGCAGATTCTTCTTTGGGTTTTAACAAGAATCTCTAAATATATAGCCGGAACACCAGATCAGGTGTAGCAGCAGAATGCAAAGCAAAGATGAAGGGTAGACTTGTAAATATTTAAGAGATTCTGAAGAGAAAATTGTCTAACACGACACAGTGAACCCACTTTCTTAGACGCAGAGTCAGAACCAGAAGAAGACAGCTGAGATTTCTTGGATATATAACGAGGGAGGAGGGCTTGGAAGCCTTACGGGGCATATTAAGGGGGGAAAAAGATAGTGGACGGCAGCGAACCACCTACCTAAAGATCTTGTGTGAATGGATGGTACAACGTGCGGTGTGAGTCTTGGCAAAGGGAATAGTCTGTTATGAAGGACATGGAATTGGAGAGTCATGATTGCCTATGCCTTGAAGCGACGCAGTGCATAGAAATATTCATATATTTACCAAGCCATCACATAATGCTTCTAGAAATGGAAATGAGCAAACACATTGACTGCTGGATTTTTCTAACTGATGCTTTGAATGCATTATTAGATACTGCGATCATTCAGATAAAAGACGTAGATAATTACCGGGTATAATATCAAAATTGTCCAAATCGTGTAACAGCATAATTGTCCATCCCACAAAATTATAATATCTAAAAAAAAATTTTTAAAAAACACTAAACTACTTCAGTTTCTTTTTCCGGGTTTTCAGATAAGACGATTAGCCATCTTGACGGCATTTGTCGTGAGAGTCGCTGAAAAAAACTTCTTTTTTTTTAAGCATTACGCCCGAGCAAGGCGTGAAGCCACTAGGATGCAGGGGGTTGCAGAAGATTTGGAGCGAGAGCAGATAGGAGTGACAGAAGAAAGGATGAGGAGAGGGATAGTTGGTAGATCAAGGTAACTGGAGATGTCGATTGACATTACATTTGAAGAGTTGGAGATTATAGCTCTCAGGGAAACAGTAATAGGGAACGGTGTTCCACAGGCGAGAGGTGCGAGGTATGAAGCTATTGGAGTAAAAGAGACGGCCACATTTAAAAGTTTCTACAGTGTAAGGGTGGGAGTGGGATGCCATCCTCGTAGGGCGCTTGAATTCATGGAGTCTGGGAACCAGTGAAAGCAGCTCATTGGAGCAATTACCATGAAAGTATTTGTAGAAAAGACAGAGAGAGGCGACGGCGCGTCTGTGAGAGAGTGACTGTAGACGAGACGCCAGATCAGGGCCAATTATATTACATATCCGCCTCTGGATCTTGTCAAGAACTCCGAGGTAAACAGAAGGGGCCCCAGACCATATATGGCAGCAATACTCCATGCTATTCAGGTAAAAAGAGAACAGTTTAAAACTACTGGATCATCAGGATAATTCTGACTAAAGAGGGTTGGCCGAAACGACATTTTATTGATAAAGCGGCCACCAGACTAAATTAAAAAAAAATAGCATAAAAAAACTCACATTCTATTTGCCAAGTAAACAGCCTTTTTTATGCCTACAACCATTAAGTATTTCCGATCTCTGGTTAAGTAATTCTTTAGGGTTATTGCTAATTTTTCCTCCATACATAGGGGGCAAGATCTATCACCAGCCTAATATTTACGGCAATAATTTTTATTATCTCCCATATATATATATATATATATATATATATATCAGGGCAGACTGGGTTCTATAGCCTCGGATGGCAACTGGTCTAGGAGAAAAACAACTCTGAATTCAAAACCTGCGGAGGGCCGTTTGGGCATCTTGTGGCTCGTAGTGTACCACGTCTTTGTATTCGGCCCTTCAAAAAGTATGGATGGTCCTGCACGAAACATTCACCACTATAAACAAATCTCATGTGCTGTTGTCGGATTGCCGGTTTCCTAGGAACTGATCTGCTTGACCCTCATACGTCGTATTCGACGGGAGAGTCGAGTGTAAATATATATATATATATATATATATATATGTGTGTGTGTGTGTGTGTGTGTGTGTGTGAGATATCATTGAAACATTATTTTTAGTTAATACCCATATTTGATTAGAACCCCCGTTTATTTATTAAACAGTATATTTATTTTCGTCTACCGTGGCTTAATCGGTATAGAGCACGCGTATCTAACGACAGATTTGAATCCTACGGAAAGCGCATATTTTCCTTTAATAAGTTTTTCTCGAATATTTAGGCCGGCAGATAAATATACTGTTTGATAAATAAACGGAGTGCCTACTCAAATATGATATAGTGATAATATATATATATATATATATATATATATATATATATATATATATATATATATATATATATTATTGTTATATATATATATATATATATATATATATATATATATATATATATATATAATGTTATTGTGATTATATATATATATATATATATATATATATATATATATATAATGTTATTGTGATTATATATATATATATATATATATATATAATGTTATTGTGATTATATATATATATATATATATATATATATATGTTATTGTGATTATATATATATATATATATATATGTTATTGTGATTATATATATATATATATATATATATATATATATATATATATATATATAGTTAGATCGATGTGAGTTTGTGACCCTGGGTTCACGCTCTTTGCGATCGTCAGTGTCTGACGATCCCGAAGAACGTGAAACTAGGGGTCACAAAGTCACATCAATCCAACTAAATATGTTAGCTCTATCACTGATATTGTGTGTTTTCCAATAAGTACTGCACATATTTAATATATAAATAATACATAGAAAAATTGCTTATATATAACACACACCCACTTATATATATATATATATATATATATATATATATATATATATATATATATATATATATATAGATATAAAAAATTTGTGGAGATGATCTTCTTAATTATAGTCCCCAAGGTCACCAGATCTTCCATTTATGCTTGCTACTCTTGAAGATTTGAGACATCGAATTGTTCAATCCGTGAAGTGAATATCTACAGATCAATATCTGTCTATATTTCTGAGAGGAGGTAATGTAATTATTTACGTTGTCCGAACCAAACCTTATATTTCGTCCACTGGGTTAGATTGTTCAGTTCCACGTACCAATGGGGAAAAAAAGCGTTAGTTAGATCCACTAACTTGAATCAAAGCGTTGTGACTTCTGGCTAATGCAGTGATGAACAAAAACTTGTACAGTTGAGTTAAACGGAGATAAATGACGCATCCAGAAGAGGCATGGCACGTGGAAGTAGAACAATCTACCCCGGTGGACGAAATAAAGGGTTTAGCTCAAAATTCCAATCCCTCAAAGAATCCTGGAATGTACAACGGTCGAAACGTCGTGAATATGGCAATAAAGACGAGGACAACAGTCTGAACAATGTAAATAATGTCAATTATCCGAAGATCAATTTATTTCGAGTGTGGAAAGAAGGGGAATACCGTTTTGATGTTGATCGCGCAAAACATGGTGCTCGGGTTGAGTGCATACAAGTGGAACAAGCTTAAAATAATAAATTTTAAACCTTTTTCTATCCAGTAATATGTTGAAGTGTGCTCCCGTCTCTTAGCATTTGTTTTTCGAAACCTGCTTTGTCTGTCTGAATAACTCTACACACACACACACACACACACACACACACACACACACACACACATATATATATATATATATATATATATATATATATATATATATATATATATAGGTATCCCATTACAAATTGATGTCATGAACAGTTTGAAAAATCCTGGAATTTTAAAATTAAAATTCGTAGGTGAAAATGGTCATTAACTAAAGGTATCTTAATTACAATTGTAAAGAAAATTTGCTCTGTTTAATGAAAATAAATATTGACCGTTCTTTTGTGAGTCAGTTTTAACATATTTCAAATTCTACGTTGTGTTAATAGGACTCGCCTGGATTATACTAACGTTTTACTACATATATATATA